CATATGTATTCCTGACCCAACCTGCTTTTATTTTGCTCCATTATTCTAGCACTTTATTAAATCGTTCTAGTTCGTTTGTTTATAAGTGCTTACTTTACAGCAGGCATCTGTGTGAGTATTTGGAGGAGATTGGAATAAAAAGATGAATAGTGGAGAGAGACTATATACTATCTCTAATAATAATAGAATTTTAAGTTTATATTTTATTTTCTTTCAGAGTCAAAATTTTTTTTTAATAGGACACTATCCACGTCTTGGGAATGCTCGACAATGGGTAAATTTGCAGGGAGTGAAACAGAGAGGAAATAGATATACAAAATGATTATTACACATAGATGACTAAGACCTTGAATAGAGGTATGGACTAAGTACTATGACCACAACAAAGAATGAAAATCTGAAGAAACATTTTAGGGGTAACATTTAGACTGGACTTTAATGAGTAACAAAAACTTGGCTAGGTACTAAAAGTGGGGACATGTTCTAAGAAGAAGAAGAAATAGTACATGCAGAGATATTGTGGTAGTGTTCGTGGGAGGAAATTATACTAGACAAATGAGAGAAGGCTACTGATAGGCCTCATATGTCATACTAGGTTGTTTATACTTTAACTTGTAGGGGAGAAAGAGCCCCTGAAAAGCCTATATAATAAAGAGGTAATATGCAATTGACCATCACTCCAACACACAGATGGCTGCCCCCATGTGGACACAAGGTGGCTGGCAGGGAGGGCAGTTGTGGGTGATCAGGCCAGTAGGGGAGGGCAGTTGGGAGGGACCAGGCCTGAAAGGGAGGGTAGTTGGGGGCAACCAGGCCTGCAGGGGAGGGCAGTTAGGGGCAACCAGGCCTGCAGGAGAGGGCAGTTGGGAGGGACCAGGCCTGCAGGGGAGGGCAGTTGGGGGGGGACAAGGCCTGCAGGGGAGGGTGGTTGAGGAGGACCAGGCCGGCAGGGGAGGACAGTTGTGGGGGACCAGGCCTGCAGGGGAGGGCAGTTGTGGGGGACCAGGCCTGCAGGGGAGGGCAGTTGTGGGGGACCAGGCCTGCAGGGGAGGGCAGTTGTGGGGGACCAGGCCGGCAGGGGAGGGCAGTTGTGGGGGACCAGGCCTGCAGGAGAGTGCAGTTAGGGGCAATCGGGCCAGCAGGGGAGGGCAGTTAGGCGTCGATTAGGCTGGCAGAGGAGTGGTTAGGGGGTGATCAGGCTGGCAGGCAGAAGTGGTTAGGGGCAATCGCAGGCAGACAAGTGGTTGGGACCCAGCAGTCCTGGATTGTGAGAGGGATGTCCGACTGCCTGTTTAGGCCCAATCTCACTGGAATCGGGCCTAAACGGGCAGTTAGACATCCCTCAAGGGGTCCCAGATTGGAGAGGGTGCAGGCTGGGCTGAGGGTCCCCCCCCCCATGCATGAATTTTGTGCACCAGGCCTCTAGTCTATAATAATAAAAGTGTAATATGCTAATTAGACTGGACGTCCTTCCGATTGATCTTCCGGATGAAGCCAGGGCTGCGAGGGAAGCCCGGGTCCCAGGTGCCGGAGGGAAGCTGGTGCCGGCAGCCAGGTCAAGGAAGGACTACTATTGCATGAATTTCATGCATCAGGCCTCTAGTTTTAAATAAGAAAGTAATATAACCTGGTTTATGTTTTAGAAAAATCAACTCTGGTGGCAGTGAGGAAGATAAACTTGAGAGAACTACAGGCAGGTAAACTAGTTTTATGGTAGTCTGGATGAGTGATGATGAGGGCCTAAATTCATGCAATTAATGTGTGAGGATGGGGTGAAGGGAATCAGGAGATGCTTAAGCAGTAGATAAAAGAGCTTGGAAAAAAATACAAAAGACAAAACAGAGATTGATGGCAAAGTGAATGCAAATGGTAAGAAAGAGTGAGGGAACAAGGACAGCGTTGAAATTGCTGAAAACCATTACCTGAGGCAGGAAATACAGGAGGGAGCTTGATTTTCTAGGGAGTAATTTTCAACAAAAATACTAGGAAAGCACAAAGAAGAGAGTGACTTTATAGAGAAGAGGAAATTGAACTAGTCTTACTAGTTTGATGAATATGATGATACTAATAATATAACTTATAGAATGTTTATAATAAAATAACAGGTACTGAACTGGGCATTTTACATGCTATCCAGTTTATTCCTCACATTAATCCTGCCTGTGAGGCCAGTATTACTGTCTGAATCTTTTAACTGAGGAACTTTTGCTTCTAGGGTTATTGCCCCCAATCTCCCAGCAAATAAGTAGAAAAGCAGGGATTCAAACACAGATCTGTCTGACTAGACTGCAAAGCCTGTCGCTATCCTCTATGTTGCACTGAATCTCATAGGATGAGTAAGTTTCTCATGGGGGAAAAGAGCAAAGGGCTCCAAGCAGAGGGACCTACATATACAAAGGCATTCAGTCTTGAGAAGGCAGAGCCCTTCTGCAGAAGGAGAGAGTGCATTGTGGAGTAAGGTGGTAAGAGAAGGAGGGTCTATGAAACAAGCATTGTCCTAAAAGCATTACAGGAATGATCTTATCAATTTTTTTCTCATTTCATAATTATTATTATATTTCCTTTTTTATTGAATTTATTGTGGTGACACTAGTTAACAAAATTTTACAGGTTTCAGATGCACAATTTTACACACATCATCTGTATACTGTATTGTGTGTCCACCACCCAAAGTCAAATCTCCACTTATCACCATTTATTATGAGGTAGGACTATTAATGTCCACATCAGAATAGTGTTTTAAAATAAAATGTAAAAGTTCACATACCTATGCATTCTGAATCGGAACCTGAGCTCTATGTGATATTGCTGAAGATATATGACCATCTTTTCTTATTTTTTACCATGATCATATATTAGTTTTATAATAAAAATATAATTAGAAGTGGCCGATTGCATTTAACAGTTAGGAAATTACTGGTAATCTTAAGAACAATTCCAGTAGAGGAACTAGCCATCGTGCATTGAGTAGCAGCGGAGTAAATGGGAATTAAAAAATTCAAGGTAGTGAATATAGATTAGTTATTCAAGAAATTTGGTTTTGATGGGAGAAGGTGGAAACATGAACATCTTAGCTTACATTGTAATTATTGCCTGGAATACTGGCATGTTTACAAAGGACCTTCATAAATAATTTCTAATAATATAAATTTAAGATTGGATAGAGAATACTAATACCATCTAACAAACTCATATAAATTGGTTTCCTGGAAGGTTATCCTCCTAAATCCAATAAAACAGACTGATGTGCACATTAAGTGCAGGGAAGATACACTGCCCAATTGAGGGAAATTAAAAGTGAAATAAAATGGATTGAATACGAAAAGGAAAAACTGACAAAATTTCATCTAGGTCTTATTGCTGGAAATCGGAATAAAAGATTAAACATTTAAATTAGAATTTAACATTTAATTCTTACAAATGACATAATTGTTGCACTTAAACTCCTTTAATGAATTGACACCATTCCACTAAAAAGTTTTAATCTATTGAGGTTAAATGTGAGGAATAAGGGCAATACGTTTTCAAAAGATTAAATTTATTCAATTTAAAGCATTATCTGAGATGATGTTATTTCTACTTCTTGTTGTACAAAGTTATTTCTTTAAAAAATTACAATAGTTGATGAGATCTAAGAAATAAAAGGTTGGTATGATAACATTACCAAAGATTTTTTTTTTTAGAAATCTAATTGTTTTCTGGGAAACACTTGTAGGGAATTTTAGCTATCTATAGAAATTAAAAGATTACATATAAAGAATTACATAAAAATGTAAAAATAATTACACTTGAAATTTGTAATTATTTGTAGACTTTAAACAAACAGAGCTAAATCAGGTCCTGTCAAAAGTTACTGATTTATATTTTACAATGAAGTAAGATCTACCTATATATCTTGGTATTCTTAGAATGGTATTGTACATTGTGAATAACTGGTACAGTTTCTGACTGAATATAAATCTAATCTTTAAATCTATAAAAAATAGAATACTATAAATCACAAGTTTAAGGCACACTGATAGCACAGATTAACATGCATAATTCCTAATCAGTTTTAAAATGGTCTTGACTACAGATTTACCTGACCTTGGGCTAGTACTTAAAACATAATTTCAGGAGTGTTGGGGAAATGGTTGAGATGACTTATTTTCAAATAAAAAGTGGTGAGAAATAAGAAACTTTGAAATTAGCATTAATTATTCATACTGTGAAACTAAAAAAATAAAGTTGTTAAGGAAAAATATATGTATTAGAAATTGAAGGTGATTAGGTATGTGAATGATGTAATGCTGTTAACAATCCATAAAGAAGGGCTCAGTTAAAATGACATTTCCATTACATTAAAGCTACCTTCAGAAACTCTGCTACAATGTTCAAGTCCCATAGGTTGACAAGTGACTTCCTTGTCTGGTAAATTATTTATTAACATTTTGTGGGCTATAATAAGGGCTGACTTATTATGCAGCTTTATTTAAATTTTAATAAAAAATGCAAAGATCATTGAAAATAAACAAATACAATTATGCACTGTGAAAAGCTGTACTGAATACTTCAGAAGAACAATACTGAAAATTAATTACACTGTACCTTATTCTGTGTGACTAGAGGTCTCAGATTACTAGGTCACAGATGATCTGGATTCAAGCAGGATTATCTTGAAGCTAAATGAGTCAAGTTGGAAATTTGACTGCCTCTTCCCCTTGCTAATAACTTTATTATCTATGAAATGATTTTAATAGTATGGCCTCCATGAACTGATGAAGATCAGATATCAAATAAAAATGGTTTGCCCTAAACAGTAACCATGATTCCCAAGTAAATGGTTTTTGATCCCAAAAGTGGATATGACAGACAGTCAAAAAGAGTTTATTTGGCTCAATAAACTTTTGTCTTAAAGTATTAATAGCCTGAGTAATAAATAATATGTTATTTAGTTGCTAAAAAAGAGTGTTTTTGTTTTGTTTCATGCTTTCGAAATAGTGCGAGATCATTTTACTCACTTTTGAACCTTGTCATCGGCCGCCTGGGAGGCCTCCACGGCGAGCCGCAGCTCTGATTCCAGGTTCACGCGGTCTGCCAGGGCGTGCTGCAGTTGGGCAGCCAGTTCCTCATTTTGTTGCTGAGTGATGGAAACAATGTTCTCTCTATTCTTTAAAGCTTCTTCATAGGTAGTAAGGGTATGGTTAAACTGATCCTTCAGATTTTCTTCTTGGGATAAAGATTTGTGTAAACTGAGAAAATATAAAAATAGATAATTTAAACATAAATATGTAGGCTGACTGACCAATAAGCCATCTAACAAAAATCCCTAGTTAGAAATATACATTTCTAAAAATCAATAAAGACATACTTAGATGAGTAAATGAAATAATTTTCATATTAGAATATTATACATGATAATTATTCCATTTCTCTGCATCTAGGCTGAAAGCTACCCAGACAAATAATTATCTATGCTACCACGGCATACAAAAAGATGCTGCAAGATGTTAACTGAATTGTATCCCTCTAAATATTACATTCAATTTTCTTTAAAAGGAAAGGCAGAAAATTAAAAAATAAAGAATCTCTAGGTTAATAAAATAGTATAATAATCTGACTGCAAATAAGTGAGAAGTGAGAGAGTGGGCATCATCAGTTTAGTAGATCCAGGGTCTATTGGGCTGAGCACTTACTGAGAATGAATGAGGTTTATACAAATACCAATCAGCCTCATACAAAGAATTTTCTACTTGTCCTAGTTGAGATATGAATGAAGTTAAAATCATTAGTCAGACTGCACAGAAATAATATGTATTCCGATACATTTTCTTTTCGTTAATGAATCTTATGTCAACTATATCCATTCATTAAGTTACAGAGAAATAGCATATAAATTAAGACTGAATGCAGAAGAAAATGCAGACAAAAATAGAATCCTAAAATGCTAAAGGTCAAATTTTTGATATGTCATTACACCTACCACCTGAGGTTATTTTGAAATGGCACCAAGCACCTCACTCAATTAAATAAGGACATTTTGAAAATATAAATATTTAATAAGGAAAATTTAAAATCCACACAGGAGATGTTCTTTTTTATGAAATAAAATCATTTCATTATATGCATATAAAAGAAATGTCAATGGGAGACTTAAAGTAAAACAACCTAACTATATATTACAGATTGATAATGTGAAAGAAAGTAATATAATTCTTGCAGCTGCAAAAAGCTAGTCAGGGAACTTTTGGCACTGGCAGAATACCTCTTATGATACTTTGTTGACAACTGTTCAAACTAAAGTAATTATAAACGTCTTCCTTTTGTTTAAGTAACCTATAAGCCTTTCCAGCGTGCTCACTTTGGAGAAGGTGTCAGAGGACTTGAAACAGGGACAGTTCGCATCTAAAAGAAATCATTTCAGGATTCAAATTAGTTCTTAAGAGGAAGGACTGCTGTTAAACTGTGGGCAACTGATTACTACATATAAAATAAGAATGGTGAGTGTAAAGAACGATCTTTATAGATTTCACCTTATTTCACTTCTCAGTTCTATCATCCCACATGTCTGAAGACACCAGTCTCCTGTCCATTTTCCTGTTCTATGCCCTTTCACACTTTCTGCATCCTTCCTATTCCAGCTTCAATTTCCATCAGCCCACTGTCTTTGTCTATTCGAAAGACCCAAGATAGAAAGAAACTAAAAACAAACAAAACAAAAATCTTTAAAAAGACAAGTCTGTTTTTATGTTTTTAAACGTTTAAAACATTATCACTTATATTTTAATTAATTATATTTTAAATTACATAAAGTGTACAAATTTAAAGTATTCAGCTTGACAAAATGTAAAGAACCAAACACAGAACAAAACACAAGAAGGTTGGCTCCCAGTGTTCCCTCCCAGCAGATTACCCTCCCCCAATGTAATCACCAGTCCAACCTCTATTAAGATTAGTATTGCCTGTTTCTGAACTTTTTGTCCGTCTGTCTTTTTTTTTTTTTTTTGTAACACAGGTTTTATGAGATTCCTCCTGCAGTTGAATATAGTTTATTTTTTACTGCTATAAATTATTCTGTTCTATAAATATCCAACAATTTACGTAATGAATTCACTATTGTTGCTATTAATATTCATGTACATGTCTTTTGATGGACCTAAGTACTCATTCCACAGCCCCCCCCCTGCTTTATTGAGATATAACTGATATCAGTACTCATTTCTGGAAAAGAATTTATCCATAGGGTGTGTAGTACGTTTATATTTAGTAGGTGCTGCATACAGTTTCCCAAAGTGGTCGTAGCAATTTACACTCTTCCCAGCGAAGTAGAAGTTCCAGTTGTTCAAACATGCTCCCTCAGCGCGGCATTGCAGGCCTTTTAACTTCAGCCATTCTAACAGGGCTGCAATGACATTTCATTCTCTTAATGTTGTCTTTCAATGAAAGTAAATTCTTAATTTACTGAAGTCCAATTTATAATTGTTTCTTTACTGGCAGTGCTTCTTGTGTCCTACTTAAAAAACCTTAGCCTACCCCATTCCTTTATATTTAATATCACACACATGATCTCACTTAGAGCTCACAGTGGGCTGTCTTAGGGAAGTCTGCATTTGTGTATGGTATCTAAATCATTATTCAATATACTCTAACCAATTAAATATTAAGAATCCATAATTCAGTTTTCAAAATCTCATCATTAGGATCATAGTGTCCCGACTTAATTCCCTAATTATTCATCACCTCCTACTCTTCTATCATTTAATCTTTTTTTTGGCAAATTTATACCTGATTTTGCTCTCAGATGAACCTGTGACTTTAATGCTCAAAAAGCTATTCAGCACTCAAATTCCTTGGAAATCTTTAAATTCCCATCCAGACTTTCACAAATAGAAGCAGTTGCTGGAGTAAGCTTTTAAAAGATAAATTAAATAATGCCACTTAAAATTCTGCAATAGCATCGTATTGCATTCAGGATAAATCTCAAAAAATGAAAACAATTACTATTTTAACTCGCTAAACCTCAAAACCTATGAGAAGTCCTGTCCAAATTATTATTTTTTTACTGACAATAAGTTGAAACAGAGGCAGGTAATTTAATTAACCTCACACGCCTAGCAGAGCTAGAATCTGAACCCACAGCCTTTATCCCTGGGCCGAACCACTCCTCGCTACTTGCCATGAGCTACATGGCCTGTAGCATCTGTACCTCCTCACCTTTTGCCAGACATTAGCTTCTGAAGTACACCACGCTTTTTCCTCTTGAGGCATTTGTACAGAGTGCCTTTCCTTCCTCTACCTGACAAACCAGGTCTCAGCACAAATCCTGCTTTCTCAGCTAAACCTTTTCTATGACTCTTCCATCTAAACTCCTATGCTCCTTCTTTGTTATGATCTCATTAACCCTAACCTTTTCCTTCTTAGAACCTAAAACAATTTGTAGTTTTTTTCAGTTTCAGCTTGTGATTTACTTCCCAATTCCAACATATTAATGCTCCATTGACACAGAGCAATTTTATTTTATGGAAAAAACTTGTTCCTAGGAACTTCAAAAAAATCAAAATGTGTATAATTTTCTTGTAGGAACAAAGTGAAGTACAGGAGCTACATTCTCAGCATATATAAATCTACTAGTGACCCGGTGCACAGATTTGTGCACATTGAAAGGAAATTAATTAGAAGGTGGCCAGCAGGGCAGGGCTGGGCGAGAAGGGCCGGACATGCCCTGGAGCCAACCTCCCTCATTCTCTCACCTGCTGGCCACACCTGGGGTGGCACGATGGCTCGAAGGGCGTCTGCAGAGTGAGCGGGGTCCCTCCGGCAGGTGGGGTCCCTCAGCCTGGCCTGTGGGGATCAGGCCAAAACTGGCTCTCTGACATCCACAGAGGGGTCCCAGAGTGCTAGAGGGCACTCTGCAAAGTTGCTGTCGTACAGGATGTGGAATGCAAATGCAAGTGTGCAGTAAACCAGATACGGGGTGACAGTGCCCCAGCAACAACATAACCCACGGCCAAAGGTGGAATCACACAGCCCGTAAGGAATCGGGCTCCCTCCTTTCTGGTTTTGGGGTGTGTCACTCAAGAACCACGGCTGCCAAGTCACTGCAGCTTAGCAGCTCCTGCATTGAGCGGTTGCTCCCTGGTGGTCAGTGAGAGTCATAGCTACCTATCAGAGGACACTTAGCATATTAGCCTTTTATATTATATAGATAGTCTTTGAAGCACATTTTTGTTTTAGTGCTGTTTTCCCCCTCAGAGTTCTCTTTCCTAAAATGACAACAGGGCCACATTGGTTAGTTTTTTCTCACAGAGTAACTCACATTTAACTTCTTGTCAAAGTTGTGATCATCGGATGCATTTTCTGCATAACAGCATTTAATTTATTGGCACTTAGATGACATTGTATGGGGAATATTTTAAGTTATAGTAAGAATGATGATAAAACAATGACAGAATAGCCATTAATCCTCTCAGAATTTTCAAAGCATGTAACCAACAGCATGGCTCACAAAAACTGCCATAGGATGATAACTACCTGATTTTTATGAAAGTAATGAGGTAATATCATAAAGTTTCAATTAACTCTTCTAGTTTTAAAATTATGTGATTCTTAACAAATTTAATTTTTGACTTTAGAATAGAAAGTAAGACTTTAAAACTGTTTTTACTTAGTACTTTCATGCTATCATAGTTCCAATCCACAGCAAATGAAACAGCACACCATTTCCTGTGCTGCCTGTCGCATTGGATCCAATCATTTCCGTGTCTCCGGATCTTTTCCCTTATGTCTGTGGTCCTAATTATTTCCCTAGTCCCTGACTCCTTAAAACATCTTGGAATTTTTGGGCTTATGACCCACTTTCATATTTGCTTGCAGATATTTATTTATATTCTCAGCCTGTCTTTTAACCAGCTTGTGGAACACCCTCTCTCAATTGTAATGTCACACATCAATTCAGCTTATTCTTGTAACTAGTACTTTTCCATTTATATCAAGTTCTGACGTTACTTTTCCTGGCTTCCTCTCTTATCTCCATCAGGAGTTACTCAAGTTCTTGTATGAGATCACTTTACTCACCATCCCACAATGCGCACCTATTCTTCTGCCTATGCTTCATTTATTTACAGTAATTACACAATCAATAATGTACCCATATATACTGCTTTTAAAAATGGAATGGATATTTTTGGATTAAAAATTTAGAGGTAAGTTACCACAGTACAGACCAGCGATTTTCAACCTTTTTAAACTCAGT